AGAAAATTTTTACTTGGATGGGTAACAAATGCAGGAGAAAAATGCATTTGTTACCCAATCACCCAAATTTTAAAAAAATTAAACAAATAAGGACTTCAAAAACTGATCAAATTCTAGCCTCATAATTTGTGACCTCACTCTTGCTCCCATTTCCTCACACTCCCTCTTAATTTTTAAGAGCTTAAATAAAATATTGCTTAAATGTCACTTCTTATACTGATTTGAAACCCATTTTCTTCACAGCAGAGACTAGTAAAAGCATTTCACAGCTGCAGTTGAGGCTTGATGTAGGAAAAGGAAGATATGCAAGGGACAAAAAATAGAAATAATCCTTAAACAGTTTTATAAAAGGTGATTCCCACTGGTAAGTAAAAATGGCTCTAATTTAGACTAGTTTCAGACTGCAACTCAGTAAAATAAAACAATATTCAAAGGAGTAGTCAGATGTCCTAGTTTATGGGATAAACATATCACAAAATGTGCCTTAGAATATTTTCATTATTTAATGTATAAAATGGCCAGATAACTTTACAGTTAGAGCCCAAGTACTGAAATCAAAGGCCAAACTCTTACTGATGTTAAGTCTTTTTGATCAGGACTATTTTACTGGAACGCAATCGACGACTTTTGTTCCAGAGCTCATTATTTCTTATTCTTTTCTCTAATATCACAAGCATTCTTTAGGCACAGGGGAGAGCCAGCTCTCAGCTTTTAATGTTAATTATGGTAATCTCTGTAGACATCATCACCTCTTCTCTTAATTTATAATGTAGGCATAAAATACCAGTGCAGCTTTCTATTACGGTAGCATAGGTCACTGCACTCTAGGGGGTTTTTGTGACAGCTTACTCTTTAAAGCCTTTTTTATAATTCAGTAATAAAAAATTACTTCACATTTACATTTAAAACAGAAGGGTATTTCATTTTGTGAATGAATTAAAACTAGTAAGTAAAAAGATAAATTAAAGAGTAAAAATAAATAAAAGCACTCTGTCTTCTTGGGTGTTTTTCAGTTGCATAATTCAAAGGTAATTCTGATTTCATACTGAATTAAATACACTCAACCAGCCTCTTGTTTTCCACCCCAATTAAAGATGCATATCAATCAAGTAAATGCTCATTTTCTTCACAGGAAACTCTGTGTTCCATCAGTAGAATACTGCTCTAGTGCCTCCAAATGGTAAACAAGAAGCATCTGCATTTTGCCCTGGATCATACTTCATTCACTCACCTATGTTAACATTTAGTACAAATCAGGAGCACATATTTTATGTGACTCTCCTGATCATTCCCATTTAACACTTAACTTAGGTTATAACCTACATTACTATGACAGTATCGAAGGAAATCATTTTACCAACAAACCACAAAACATTTTTAAGGACTATATCATAAATTAAGTTTCATTTGCAACCATCAAGAAACACACCCAGTATTTCCAAGCATAAGAGTTAATTTTGTTTTATCTTTAGCTTTATTTTGTCTCAGGGAAAAAAATTAGGCCCATAAACACTGATGATAGCAACACATTTGTCAACTTCACAATTTCTTGGATTATATCCAGTTACAGGAACATCCCAATTGCTCCATAAAGATGCAATATTACTGTTTGATGGTCTTAACATTTTAATGCAAAAAGGCTACTATAAAAACTATACTTCAAAAAATTGTTGCCCAAACCCATGGGTACTCTCATGTAGTGACTCCTCTGTTATTGATTGTGTATTTTTCTCTAAAACGCTTAGCAGCCATACAATACTCCAGTTACAGATTAGCTATCATTGCTGTCTGAGGAATTCTCTTGCAGAATCCAGTTTAGCTGCATTTTACATGCAAAGCATGTAAAAATTATTTTTCTTCGTCAGATTTGAGAAATGTGACTCACAAAAAGCATACACCTAAAATTAGTCTGAAAATAGAAAGCTGTGACTAGATGGCTTTTCCTATTGGTGCTTCTCATTCCCATAGCACCTAATTCTGTCATCAAGCATCATTGTCTCCAACACATTATTTAAGGATTTTGTAATTTCAGTGTCACTCCCTCTCTTGCTCTTATGCAATGCCTTTCTTTTGGGAATTGCAGAGGTTTTTATATAAATAATAAGGTATATAACATCTCAGAATTAGGAACTTCCACCTTTCACAGATGGAACTGAAATGGAGACAACATGCCCCAGATTTACAAATTTTCTGAAGTCATCTTTTCCCAGAAAAGATTACAATAACTCTAATTTACTTCAGAAAATTACTGTGTCCTAAATGAACTCTCCTGAAATTTGAAATCATCTTTTTGCAGCAATATCTAACACAAGATAGAAACTAACTGGATTTTTTTTTCCCTGAATCAGATTTTGGTTACATGTGTCATTACATGTCCAAAACAAGTGAACACTGAAGCCATGGAGGTATCGGTCATGACTCTCTAGCTGTGGGAAAGCTCCATTTTGCACTTACAAAAAATTAATTCAGATCCTGCTATGCTTAAAACCCACATCATATACTCTCCTACCTGAATGACCAACACACTGTGAGTCCTGTAAATACAAGTTGAAAAATAAATTCACTGACTTATGAGTGATCCATCTATATAGAATAAGAAAAATATGATTCCTCAGGGAATTGTCAACAGCCTGAGCATGATTCAGAATTACCTTTGGCCCCAGCCAGAAGCAGGATCTTCTCATCCTGCTGCAGCCTATTTAAAGCAGAAGCTCATGTTTTATGAAGAAGCAAAGTGGCAGTGAAGCTCAGAGCAATTGTTTCTAATTGTTGTGATTAGACAGAGGACAAGTAAAATCAGTCCCAGGGCTCACATGGGAGGCCACTTTGACAGAGAAAAACTTTCCTCTCCTAATTCACACATGACAATCCTATTAAATGGAGCATTGCAGAGAAGGGGCTCACATCAAAAGTTTTCATTGATAAATCACTTCTTTCCAGCTGCCACCACTCTGTCACCTACAACTGGTGACAGGACTCAGAATTTGTGGTCATAAAGCTCCCCACAGTACTGTAAATCTTAGCCAGAAACCTACGACCCGATCATACACTGAGCTTTTAACCATACAGGCAGAGGGACTGCCTTTCTGCTTCACTTTGGTCTTGTTGCTGCTTTTGGGAAGGGGCGTTATGTAGGGATTTTTTTGGAATATTTTTTATGACATTCATCTTCATATTATTCCTCTGAATCAGTAAATCTATTACAAAGTAAAGGCATTTTCATCAGCTCAATTTGGCTGCTTTGCCAAAAAAAGAATAAATCTAAATTAGCCAGTATTTTTTATCTGCTTTATTATAACCAGCAGAATAGTGAACCTGTCCCCAACCATTAATCATTAAAACATACCCAAAACATTTAAAGCTGCATATCTTCAAAGCACTAAAAGTAATTACACAACAGGACTGTTACAGGGTATGCTTACTTAATGTGGCTGAAATAAATGAGATAAAAATTACTAAAATGCACATATAAGGTTGCCTTGCAATGAATGCATGTGTGTATAAGAGGGGAATGGAGGAGGAGATCCTCATCTGGAAAAGACTACACAGCTCAGAACACTTTCTTCAAATATTCTTTAGCAGAATCTGCACCTTTTTACCTAATCTTTGAAATACATAGTCATGCAGATAAGGCAGTATTAAATGGATCAGTGCTGTCTCTGGAAAGGAAGATAAGTTAGCCTTCGGTACTTAGATATTCACTTTCTGACAGCTGTTCTTCTTTCTCAAAAATTTCCTCTGCCAAGCAAAGATTATTTGGGATTGACAAGTCTGTGCTATGGAATAAACAAGATATTTTATCTGATAGGATAGTGGAAACAGATGCTTAAGATCCAGATAACACTATAGCCTGTCAGGCATATTATATAACTTGTGGGGGTCTCAGGGAAAAGGTACTGAGCCACACAAAAACCTACATATGCCTGACAGTTTTTATGAATCCATGTTATTCGAAAAGATACCAAGAGAAAGAAATCTCTCACATTGCAAGTGTAATGAGAAAAAGACAATTCTGCTTCCTACCCTGCAAGAAGGTAGAAACAAAGAGTAGGAAGAGGAGACAAGATGGTGAGGTTGGTGTAGCTGAAATGGTGGTCTGGCAAAATTCATACAAAGCAATACTAAGACCTAATGAAAGTATGAGGTGGTTTGATTTCTTGAAAGAAATACATATCACTCTGGGATAAATAAGTGCTCTGTAACCAACACCTGCTGCCTGTGGCATATCAGGGCTGCCAGCATTCACATAAGCATTAGCAATCCACAAACCTGTTGCCACATCCACTACTGGAGATGAGGAAAATGGTCCCAAATTCCTCAATGCCACTTTGTTAACCACCAGTGCTAAGGCTACTGCTTTAAATACAGCCTGTGCTTCATCTGCAGCCCTAAAGGATGGGTGTCCTCTCTGAGCTTTACTGTCTCCTCATTCAAGCCAGGACACTTCACTAGTGAGACAGTGGGCTCAAGCGAATACCAGGGAAGTACAAACATTTTAAGACTTGTCTAAGTTTTAGTATTTTGTTATATACATGCCCAGAAGTAGAAGTCATCTGCAACAGCCATCACTAATTGCAGCTCCCGCCACACATGAGCAATAATATGTCACTCTTAAGTTCTGCTGCTGGAATATATTCTTTTTGTTTCTCAGGAGATGCTTTTCAGTTAAATAATCCCAAACCGAACACATAATTTACATGCAAAGTTACATGTGTACACAGAAAAGCATTTGAAAATTACTATCCCTAAATTACATTTTTAGATATGATGCAACATAACACACCTGTACAGGGTGCGGGTATCCTTGAACTCAGACTGTCTCTTCCTTATTGACAAAAATGACATTTAATTGAGAAAAAGAGGTGCTGAATCTTTGTTAAACTTGACTGTAACATACATACAAACATTCACCACTCCAAATGCAGTTTTCTGATATGATGTCAGTACAGATTTTCTGTTCGAATACTTGACACCAGCCAATCCCTACACTTTTCTTTTACCTGGAGTAATGGATAGCTTGATGTCCTGCAATATTAAAATAGAAGTCAGTTGTATGTTTCATCTCATCAGTATGTCCGGAGACTTCAATCCAGTGTGCTATTGGGAGGCAGTAAACTCCATCTACTATGTTGCTCTGATTGTAAACACAACTTCGATCATGATGAGGCCCATTACCTAGAACAGAAGAAAGGACAATTGCAGGCTAGTCTTCCAAAAGATTTGCTGGGAGATTTCAACTGATTGTTTAAGGCCAGGAGCGGTGTTTGCTGCCAGTTCAAACTGCATTTCTCATAACACATTATTTGCACCTGAAATAGTGGTAACAGAAGCACAAAGCAAATGTTCAGCATTAAAATAAATTTTTGAAAATTACTTAGAAAAATTACATTAAAGTAATATATAAGTAAAAATAAATATATAAGTAAAAATTACATTAAAGTTGCATAAGAGTCCTAAATCCCTTAAAATTTCAGGAATAATTAATTTTATTTAAGTTCCTCGTTTGGTGTCTGATAATATGTGACCTCAGCATTTAATGTTCTTGCTGTATGACCTCCCTCTGGGAGGTCCAGCTTGCTGTGGGCCAAGGTCTAACTCTGACAAGGCACAGCAGCCTCACCTTGCCTCAAGCTGACTTCTAAGGAAGTTGCCAAGCCATGGCATGTACGTCTCACTGTTCATACACAGTAAAAGTTGCCCAAAGTGGCCCATGGAGAGACAGTCACATCTGCACTGGTGAAGGATCACAATTACCTAAAATGGCCTTGTTTAAAGTAAGATTTTTTCCTTACCATTTTCTACTAATATTCATTACTCCTTCTTCTTCTCTTACAGCAACAGTGTGAGCTTTAGTTAGAAAGCCAATCTCTAATACCATGCCAGAGTAAGCAACTTGAATTGAGCTGCGTCATGTCATCAATCAAAAGGTTATCTAGCCTCCAAAAATACAGTACATATATATTCTCTGTCCACCCTCCCCCCCTCCATTTTTACATACTTATTGTAATACTAATTGCCATGTAGGAATAATTATTGTGCAGAGCAGAAGTGACCCAGTCTATGGTTTCCTTAAGCCTGTTACACTTATACATTATTAATGATGTTAAAACATTTCTGAGTAAAATTATGCCTGAAGTAATATCTTCAACTGCACATAGCACGTAAATGCATGACTAGTTTCCAAGCATCACATTTAGAGGAATTTGCTTGAGCAAGAACATTCTAGGAGATGTATTAATGCAATGATTAGAGAGTAAGACTAACATTTAATACTAAAGCTCAAACCATCTCCTTATTTCCAGATGACATGCAGCACATTTTATCAGAATTGTGAAATATTACTGCTTACCTAAAAGAAAAAGAAAATACCAGGCAGAAAACTATTTTCTTTTTTCACGTCACTGAACCATTATGCATCACACATCTTTTGATAAGGTAAGCAAGATCAGTACATGGCTTCAGAAGCTACGGATCTTACCACTCTATTTTTATCTCACATTTAGAATCGTTTACATATTCTTACCACTTATAAGCAATACGTGAAGAAAGCAGTATACATTAGCAAATACAACAGCATAACAAAATCTATGGATGTCTATGACATTTAATTGACTTCGTGAAATTCAGCAAAATGCAGCCACAAATACCACATCTTGCCTTCCCCATTTTACTCTCCAACAACTGTCTGTAGCAATGCCTATCATTGTGGCCCTGCCCTGCCATCACAGGGCTGTGTCTGATCCTGACCCCCACCTGCCCACAGGCCCATGTGGGTCTCAGCCCTGTCCCCAGGGAGGTGCCCAGTGTTCAGGGCTGGGGGTGCCTGGGTGCCCCTGGCTGCCTGCTCCTGACTGACAGTCCTCTGACAGTCCCAGTGAGCCACCAGCCCTCACTGCACCCTAGCAGTTTTGAGCCATGTTCTCAGATCTCTGGCTTTTTTTGCTACTCCCAGTCCTGTTTTCCCATGTCCAGAGGTGCCCTGTACCCACTCCACCTCCTGGAAGGACTGCTGCTTCCACTGCTCACAGCTGTTCCTTCTCCTGCATCAGGGTTTCGGCATTATTTTTTGCAATCACAATCTATGATCACTCCCTCCTGCTTAATTCCTCCTTTCCTCAAGGTGCTAGTCAGTCCCAGACAACAAAGCCTCACTCTTCTTTGTCTTCATGATGCCAATTGCACCACCATGTGCTTTCTACTGCCCCATTTCAAACTGCTGGTGCTTGAGATGCATGCACTTCCACCATTTCCCAGTTTTACTACCCATCCTCCTTCTCCTCCTTCTCCAACTTTAATTCTTGTCTCCTTTTTACATTCATTCCTTCTCTATGATCTGCCTTCTTAAACAGCTGTAACCTCCTTGCCTTGCAACCTTATGCCCTTCGCCATCATTAATTCCCTTACATAGCCTACAACCACATAGGGAAGTGTGCCCAGGAGTAAATTGCCATGAAATGTTTGTTTGTTTTATTTGTTCCCTCAAACAGGTTCTGAAAAATCTCATTCTGAAAAGCTTTTTGTTTGTAATTATCATTTATCACTGTTGACTTTCCTGCACCACTCAACCTCACCTTCCTGCTGTGGCCTACAGTCAAACAGGAATCTCAAAAGGTATGTTTAGTTCAGGTAAACAGAAACAGCTTGCATTCATAGCCTGTTTCATGAGAATTGCCTAGCTCTTTACTACTCCTTACATTGTACACTGATCTATGAATTAACAGCCTTCTTACTGCAATAGGATGTCTGTCCAACAGAATGCATATGAACATACATTCAACATATATATATTCATGTGTCATATAATTTCAGACAGGAAGGGGAGAGTGCTATCATCTTCAAGAAATACTAATTTAGGGAACAGTATGATCACAGTGAACTGTGTTCAGGAAGCTGAATTCTCTACATCTCTTACAAGAGTTATGAAAGTAGGCAGTTACCACAAAAGATCAGGATCTCACTATCCAGGTTAATCCCCACAATTACACAAATGCTTCTCACCACAGTTTGCTTCACGAGGCGCATTTAACAAATAAGTGTCAAAAAACCCCACAAAATTGTTGTATCAGTTCACATCACGCTCCTGTTAGCACAATTTAGCACAGGAAAACCGTAATATTTTGGATGCCATAAAACAACAAAGCAACGGAACAGTTTCAGAAGTAGAGCCAGGTGACAAGTTTGAAGGAGTAATGTAGAACTCATCAATAATTTAGAGCTGCTATAAAAGACTAAAGATTGAATTCTCTCACCTTTTATCTGCCAAAGGTGTTTAATACAAAAATAAAAGTCAGCCAATTAAATCGGCTTTTGTTTAAGGTAACTGTTTATAAACTGTTTTTTAAACAGAAAACTAGCATTACTTGCACGTTCTGTAATATATTTGCAGAATGTATACGGCTAGGAAAATCAGCAGAGATGGGGTGATGAGCAGAAATCATTAGCTGGATAACTCTCAGTTCTTCCTGTTCCACCCCTATCTTCTTAAATGGTTCCTCATTAGTTTTCTCCCCCTGAAGCAAGGTGCATCAGCCTCATGGTGTGAGATATGGCCAGGAAAACATTCTTTAGCCTCAGCTCCTTTGCCTCTGCAGACCTGTGGGCAGGAACAGACTCTTTGCATCTCATCTGTGGTAGAGTTACGTGACTGTCAGACTCACGCTCAAAGAACCAGCCCAAGACTTCTCACAGCACTGGAACAGCTCATGCCAAGAACAAAATAGCTTTCAGAGGCAGGATAAAATTTTGCCACTCTGAGTGAGACATTTACTCTCCCCTCCCTCAACACAATAGGCCAAACAAAATCCTTTCTGGATGTGAACTGCTGGAACTTTCCAGGCAGTGACAAACAGCACCACAGAGCAAAGACCACCACTTCCTCATTCACTTTCTACTTCAGGGCTGTCGCTGTGGTTGGTTAGCTTGGGAGGAATCAGTGTGTGCGACAAAGGCAGCTGGGAACAAGGTCAGCATAATCTAACTCCTCTTAGTGCATCAGAAATGTGTTGCTGCCCTTTCTAGTTTCTTACACTCTTCTCAGGCACCAGAGAGAAAAGACAGTGGTCAGTGCAGACAGAAGTGCCATGACACCATCTGTACACAGAGTCTGGACATGCTGCTCATGTCTGAAGCTGCTCATACTTCTTAATCCACTTAAAGTTTTAGTTTGTCCTATCCTACAGGTCCCATTATCTGCTTTATCTGAAAGGCCACTGCAGCTTTGGATTTCTGTGACTTCGCCTAGAAGTCAGACACAGCACTTTTCCCATAGTAACTTTGCTCAGCTTCATTGCTCACTTCTCAAACACACAAAGCATTTCATAAAGTAAGTTATCAAAACTCAAGGCCTAGTGATGAAGTTTAGTTTCTGTACCTGAAGCTTAGAAAGGCCCCACCAAAAAGTTGCAAAGGTTATCTTCAGAGTGCTGGGAAACCACATCTGTCAGGGAGGCTCCATCACCAGCTGGCACAAACAGAGAAGGTCCAGGGTATAATTTGCTACAATCCAACATGCTTCCAGGGCCCCAAATGCATGTCATATCTTTACTGGCAGTCTTTTGGTGCATACGTAAATACATCTGTCCCTTTACACTGACTAGTTCCCCCAAACTTACCCAAACCTTGTATGAAGACTTGAAGATACAAAGACTTGAAGATACTTTCAATAAATCCCTTATGACTCCACTTCTCCAGAATGGGAATTCACCACAATTCCCATTTAAACATGCTGCTCAGGCACAGCAGCTGCAAGTCTGCTCACCAGTTTGCAAGACAAGAGCTCCAGTCTCAGAACACAAGTGTTCATAGCACGTTACACCAGACCAGTGGGTAGGCTTCAAGGAATTTTTAATAGGAAATAAACAATCATTTGGGTGATTTCTTTTATTAATAGTCAAGAAAACATTGTGCAGCCTTAAAGATTTGAGGGAATTTTAAAAGTATTTCAATTTTTCTGTTCCCAGAGCCAATAGTAAAGCTAAGAAAATCAAATGTTGGCCATTTACCTGCTCATGTTTGCAAAAATGAAAACAAGCACAAAAGGGCCCTACACAGCAGCAAATACATGTTTTTACAGCTCAATCCATTTCTGTATTGTTATTTTTCTTTATCTTGTTTTTATTCATATTGTTCCAAGTGGCAAAACACAAGTTTAATTATTTACATTTGGGAGGCAAATA